GTCCAAGGCAGGGCAATTCAATGTCCCATGAAGGGTTCGTGGGTCGATCATGGTATGTGTCTCTGGCCGCACAAAGGGGCAATGACTTATAACAAAAATCTGGTAACCTGGGACAGGGGAGCTGCATCGAAACTGGTGTTGAAACAGAGGGACTGAAGACATGCTGCAGGAAACAGCAAAACTCCGTCCACCTGGTGGCTCCCAAGGGGGCCAGCGGTTCTTATCCTCCTCCCCCTCTTCTTCTTTCTCCTGTCTGTCCTCGTCCTCGTCGTCGTCCTCCTCCTCCTTATTCTCTTCCCTTCCCCTCCTCCTCCTCCTCCTCCTTCTCCTCTACCTCCTCCTCCTCCTCCTCCTCCTCCTTCTGTCCTCTCATCTCCTTCCGATCGTACCCCTGCGGCTCCTGATACTCGCATCCTTCTTCCCGTCCCCCAAGGGTACGGCTGCGGTGGCAGAGCTTCTTCTCCTCCTCCTCCTCCTCCTCCTCCTCCTCCTCTTCCTCGTCCTCCCGCTCCTCCTCCCTCTCCTCATCTTCTTCCTCTCCCCCCTCCTGCCCCTCCTCTTGCCCCGCCCCTCCCCCCTCCTCCCCCGTTCCCCCGTCCCCCCCTCTCTTCCCGGCCTCCCAGGGCACGTCCTCGGTGGAAGAGCTCATCACCATTCCGATAGCCAAGCTCTTCGGGGCGACCGACTGCAAGTTCCACGCTGAGGGCAGGGAGGACATCGACGTCCGGATGCTCGGCGCGGGCCGCACCTTCGCGGTGGAGGTTTTGGGGGGATGAGGGTGAGGAGGAAGGGAGGAGATGGGAGGGATGAATAATGCTATCGCGAAACATGAAAGCAGGAACAAGAAGAGGGCGCACACTAGTAGCACTGGTAAGACCACGAAGTAGATACTGCTAATTTCACTGCTATGAAGAAGGCGCGAAAGTCTAATGCGAACACTCCTAGCTGTGTCTATCAGCAGGTGAAACACGAATGCGGCGACTGAGACATACAACACTAACAGTATTACTACCAATACTGATTCTCATTGTGTCAAGAGCAATGACGAAACACACTACGACGAGACGGATAATGAAGGCGATGCTAATGATGCTGTTGCTGATGTTGATGGAGATAGCGATGAGCTATGAAGATGAGGATGAAGACGAATAAGCATCCGATGATGACAATGATGACGATTATGATGATGATCATGATGATCATGATGATGACGACGACGATGGTGATGATGCTGCTGGTGATGATGATGGCGAGGAGGGGGATGATGATGATGATGAGGAGGAGGGGGGAGGATGGGGAGGAGGAGGAGGAGCAAAGGCTGGAGCAGGAGGAGGAGGAGGAGGAGAAGGATGAGGAGGAATGTTTGGTTCAGGAGGAGGAAGGGCTGGAGCAGGAGGATGAGGGGGAGGAGGAGGCGGGGGAGGAGGAGGAGGAGAAGGAGGAGGATGAGGATAACGAGGAACATAACGATGTGGGTGGTCTTGGTTCACCCGAAAAACTTTAGTTTTTCTACTTTTGGGTCTTGGCTGGCTAAAAAAACGCTAAGCCAAGCGCGATTTGTTCTAATGGTTTCAAAGGAGGTTTTAATGTTGTTGTTTTGTTTTTGGGCCTGTTGCTTTCGATCCTCATTTTTGGAACATTTTTTCCTTTCTTGTCAAGGGCTGCTCTTCCGTTCCTGCTGCCTCCCGTTTTTCCCGCTTCTCGCGCAGATCAAAGTAAATTTGAAGAACACAACGCCCGAACACCAGGCTAACACTGGCGCGAAACAGGCCTGGAGGCCTCTCGACCAGCCAGCAATGACGGCTGGAGAAGAGCAACAGATATTATGCTATACTCGTATCAGTAGTATTATGACTCCAGGGAGGACCAGACGCAAGGATAATGAACAGAGGACGTCGTAGATGGCAAGTGTAATCAGCGGGTTCACGTGATTTGAAAAAGACAGAACGTAGTTTAGCATTCAAAAGAGCAGCTCATGTTTCTATCGTTGTACATTCTCAGTAAAATAACGATGCGGGACAATAATACAATTCACATACTCTATATATTTAATGTTGTTTGTAGTTTTGTTTTGCTGCGACGGAGAAAACCTTGAAACATGTTACCAAGACGCCGAGTTAATAACCGTAGAATAGCGCCCAGGGCATATCTAGGAAGAGCGATGTTGGTTATGATAATAATGTGGGTGTTGATGATGATGATGATGGTGATGTTGCTGCTGTTGTTGCTGCTGCTGTTGTTGTGGTTGTTGATGTGGTTGTTGATGTTGCTGTTGATGATGGTGATGAGGATGCTGCTGCTGATGGCCATGTTCATGATGATCATGATGCTGATGATGCTGATGCAGATGCTGATGCTGATGCTGCTGCTGATGATGGTGGTGGTGAAGAAGAATCATAATACTAGTCATTAGAAGAGCAATCATAAAACAAGGTGATCATAAGGATAATGATAGTGGTAGTGGTGATGATGATGGTGATGACCACGTATTTGTTTTTGTTGCTAAGGACGATGCTGTTGCTGCTGCTGCTGATGATGATGAGATGAGGAGGAGGGGAGGGAGGAGGAGAAGGAGGACGATGATGATGATGATGATGATGATGATGATGATGATGATGATGAGGAGTGTGGAGAGGAGGAGGAGGAGGAGGAGGAGGAGGAGGAGGAGGAGGAGGGGGCGAGGCAGGCGGAAGGAGAAGGGGCACGGACCGGACCCGGGCTCTGGCTCCGGCTTCCGCCCGTGCTTCGGCCTCGGCCTCGGGCTCGAGGTCGGGTCCGGGGCCCGGGCGCAGCTCTCGTGCCCCCAGGCTGGGCCCCAGCCCGTGCGCGGGGCTCCGATCCTGCGCCTGGACCCGTGGCCTGGGCGCCCAGGCCTCGCGGGGGGGGGGGGCGGGCGGCGGGCGGGGCCGGAGCAGCGAGGCAGCGTCGGCGGCACGGCGCCTGCGTGGGCTGCCTCGCCCCGGCCGGGAGGACGGCGGGCGGGCGGGCTGGGGGCGGCGGGGAGCGGCAGGGGGGGGGGCTCCTCCTCCTCGTCCTCGCCCTCCTCGTCCTCCTCCTCCTCCTCCTCCTCATCCTCCTCCTCGGCCTCCTCCTCCTCCTCCTCCTCCTCCTCCTCGGACGGAGGACGGAAGACGGCGCGGCGGCGGGGAGAGGGGGGCGCGCCGCAGGTCCAGAACGCGCGGCGGGCCTCGCCGACCATGCAGGAGCCCCGGCATGGGCTGGAGTTTTTGTTTGTTTCGTTGTGTTATGTTGGCTGCTTTCTTTCTTCCCCCCGTGTATGTGGTTGTTCGTTGTGCCGTCGTGCCTTTGTTGTTATCTGTTTGGTTTGGTGCGCGGCCTTAGGGATTGTGGTCTTTCGTTCTTCCGCCGTCGCTGTGTTGTTTGTCGTGTCGTCGTGCTTTCTTCTTTGGTGCCCCAAACAGTGCTTGCACTCAGGGTTTCTTACTTCCGTTCTAAGGACCTGGGCCTTGCCTTCGGTCTGGCGGTTATGTGGCCGCCGTCGCTGCCCCGTCGCCGCCTCGTCGCCGCCCGTCGTCTGCGCCAGTGTGGCGGTCTGACGGCTATGTTGTCGCCGTCGCCGCTCCGTCGCCGCCTCTCTGCCGCCCCAGATTGCAGAACGCAAAGATTGCACCGCAGAGATTGCACCGCAAAGATTGCACCGCAAAGATTGCACCGCAGATTGCAGCGCATAAATTGCACCGTAAAGATTGCACCGCAGAGAGTGTTTCACACATACAGCACCATGTATAGCGTGCACAGCATCGGTAGTGCCGCATGCGCAGCACCACGTGGGCTGCACACTGTACACTGCACCGCACACCGTGCACAACACACACATTCATATATATAGAGCCACATCGGTTGACCTCTCAGAATGTACCACATAGCTTGCGCAACGTATATTGAGCCGCATGGATTGCACCACGTGGAGTGCACAACTTATATGGCACCACGTAGATTGCTCCACATGGGTTTCACAACGTAGATGTCGCCACATGGATTCTCCCTTCTTTCAGAGGTATAGACTCTACCCCACCCCTCCCCCCGGCGTTATCACCCCCCCCGCGTCCTATGTAAATCACATGTGATTATGACCACATGTCCATCCCAAATATGAAATCGCAATGTCCCAGGCCAACCGGGCTCCCCCCCCCTAAGGTTCCCTTGTAAAAAACGATACGCGGGGACATCTTTTGTTCTAACATAGCACTTTTTCACGAATCCCTTGCAAAACACGGGACGAAGTGCACACGCGCGCGTCGTCGCGCGCGCATGCCGAACTCCTTCAAAAACCTTAGGTGTCGGAAGGATTTCGCAATCGAGTTTCCAAAAGACATACACCAACACAGGGTTTCGCAACACTGATTTTCTAAAAAAGCTTACGCGCGAGCTCTTGCGAAATCTTAAGAAGAACCATAGGTTTTTCAAGATTTTCACAACATGCCACCAAACGGGCTTCGCGCGCGCGCATGTCGAAATCTGTCGAACGCCCTTGCGCGTGTGCCGTCGCGAGAATCCTCTGCACAAATGGGACGAAGTGCAGACGCGCGCGTCGTCGCGCGCGTATGCCGAAATCCTTCAAAACCCATCGGTTTCGGAAGGATTTCAAAATCGTGAATCAAAAAACCTACAAATACACAAGGTTTCGCAACACGGATTTTCAACAAAAGCGTGCGCGCGCGCTCTTGCGCCGTCGTCGTCGTCGTCGTCGTCGTCACCGTCCTCCCTCCTCCCGCGTCATCGTCGTCGTCGTCGCCTACGTCGTCCTCTGTCTTTCCTCGTGTTCGTCGTCGTCGTCCTCTTTGGCGTTGTGGTCGTTTCCGTCGTCGTTGTCGCCGTGGTCGTCCTCCCTCGTCGTCGTTGTCGTCGTCCGTCGTCGGCGTCTCGTCGTCGTCCCTCCTATTTCGTCGCCGTCGTCGTCGTCGTCCTCGTCGTTGTCGTCGTCGTCGTCTTCCCTCCTCCCTCGTCGTCGTCGTCGTCGTCGGCGTCGCCGTCCTTCCTCCTTCTTCGTCGTTCGCGTCGTCGCCGTCCTCCCTCCTCCCTCGTCGTTGTCGTCGTTGTCGTCGTTGTCGCCGTCGTCGTCCTCCCTCCTCCCTCGTCGTCGTCTACGTTGGCGACGTCGTCGTCGTCTTCGTCGTCGTCGGCGTCGGCGTCGTCGTCATCTTCGTCGTCATCGACGTCGGCATCGTCGTCGTCGACGTCGTCGTCGTCGTCGGCGTCGTTGACGTCGTCGTCGTCGGCGTTGTCATCGCCGTCGTCGTCGTCGTCAGCGTCGTCGTCGTCGTCGTCGGTGTTGTCGTCGTCGTCGTCGTTGGCGTCGTCGTCGAAGTCGTTGGAGACTCGTCATGATACCGCGCCGGCTCAAGTCGCCGACTCGCAATGAAGTGCCCGCGCTGGTACGTGCCCAACGATCAGCGCCACCGCGGCCGCGTCGGTCGCGCCAGACCAGCTGGCTGCTGCGCGCGCGTGCTTGGGTTGACGCGGCCGCAGAGACGCACCAGCCAACGCCGAGCATGCATCGCAATCGCCACCCTATGGGTTCTGCAAACCAAGTTGCGGGTTGGTGGGTTGGATGTTTGCAAGAGCACGGGATGTGCCAACTCGTTTGTTGAAATCAATTGCACCACGTAGTTTTCACCGCGTAGGTTGAACATCGTAGATTGCACCACATTGGTTGTACAAGAGATATGGCATCATATCGAGTGCACAATATACATCGCACCACATACATTGCACCACATGGTTTGCACTACGTAGATGGCACAATATATGTTCTTCTTTCGAAGCAGGAATTGGGATCTACCCCCTGGGATTCCCCCCCCCCCCCCTCTCCGCGGGGATGTACAACTTACTTGTGATTCCCCCCCCCATCGTTGGTACCAGGCATGACTTCATACACTCCCCGCCAGGCCGAGATGTATCCCCCACCGCCCCTTCCAAAACACAGTATGTGCGGACATGCAGAAACCATTGTTCCCTAAACATCCCTTGCAACAGATGGGGCGAAGTGCACACGCGCGCGTCGTCGCGCTCGCATACCGAACTCCTTCAAAGACCTTGGGCTTCGTACGGTTTTCAGAACCGACTGCCCCGAACACATAAGCACGTGGGTTTGCAACAACAGTTTTAACATCAAGGTGTGCGCGCGCGCCCTTGCGAGTTCTTATGAAAACCATCGGCTCGCATTATTCTCAGCACGCGCGACCAAACGGGCTTCTCCGCGCGCGCATGTCGAAAGCATTCGATTCGAACGCCCTTGCGCGCGCTGGGGGGGGGGGGCATAGTTCTTGTCAAATACAGTCGGGGCCCTGAAGAAGGAACCCTTTTCGTTGGAGAGGGGCTCGGCGTTCTTTGAGTGTTCTGCAGTTTGCCTTCAGTTTTCCTGAGGTTCTCCATGGGAAATGAAATCGAAGTTCAACGTATGGGAGAAAGGGGCCCCATTCCTTATTTAGGGTTCCTTAGTTCAACGCCCCGACTGTATATCATGCTGGCCACTCGCGCCCGTCGGCCGCGCGCGCATGTCGAAATCCTTCCAACACCTCCACCGGCGACGCGTGGGCACCAGCACCGCCATCGGCTTGGTCGGCATCGGCGCCGTCGTTTGTGCTGTGCCGTCGTCGTGGTCGTTGTCGTCTTTCGCATAGTTGCAATCCGCATCGTGTCTGCCGTTGTCGACGTCGCCATGGTAGCGCGCCCGCCAGGGTCACCGACTCACGCTGATGTTCCCGCGCGCCAGCGCGGCTTATGAGACACGCTTGGAAGGTTCCCAGCGTGCAGCGCCACCGCGGCCGCGTCGGTCGCGCCAGACTAGCTGGCCGCTCTGTGCGCTAGCCTGCGCGCGCTAGCGCAGCTGCAGCGGTGCGCCAGCCAGCGCCAGGCAGACATCACACTTGCAGCCTCATGGTTTTTGCAAGCCACGTTGCGGGTGGGTGGATGGGATGGTTGTGCGAACAGTGGTTTTGACAACTCACCGCGAGCACCATTTAGTTGCAATGTGTGTGTGTATATATATATATATTGCACACCGTAGGTGTCAATATACACACTGTTTGGGTCCACGCGGGCTGACATTTTCGCATGTTTCAGTATTTTTGCATATGTATGTACACACATAGATTCATGTTGCCGTTGTGTCCCCTTCCCCCCAACGCGTGTTTGGCATTCAGGTGCGTTTTTGTGTGTGTGTGTGTGTGTGTGTGCGTGTGTGTGTGTGCGTGTGCGTGTGTGTGTGTGCGTGTGTGTGTGTGTGAATGTGTGTGTGTGTGTGTGTGTGTATGTGTTTGGGTTGTGCTTCTTGTTTGTTTGCTTTCAGGTGTTTATCGATGCCTCCTTCTCTCTCTCTCTCTTTATCTGTGCATGTCCTCGGTCGGCGGCGCAACGATCGGCCGGCGGCGACCTGCATGCAGTAAGTGATCCGCGCGCCAGCTTCGCGGGCGCTGCCACGTGTCTGGGAAGCTGGCTCGCAGGCAGTTGTCGCGGAGCGCAGAGGCAGGACCTGCGCGTGGCCCCGACGCGTCCAGTTGCCCGAGCCTTGCCAGTATGAAGCGGTCCCCGGCAGCGGGATGCGGCGATAGGTCACGGTTGCACGATCCACGGGGTGTCAGGAACCAACGCTTAAGTCATCGCGGTGTTAGCCTCTTGTGCGAACTCTTGGTTGCGTGGCCAGCGGGCATCCAATACCGCCCGAGGTGGCCAAGCTGGGGGCACTACTGCCTACAGGATGGCTTCAAGGGGCCCCAGCGTTAACCCCAGGATTGCTCCTGGCTGGCCATTGAGCCTCCTAAAGGGGGCCTTGGGTGTGAAACGCCACCTCGAGCAGTCATGGAGCGACTGGTGTCGAGCCTGCGCGCTGTTCGGTTGCAAAACGGCTGCAGCCAGACTGCAGGTTTGCACAGGCAATAAAAGGGGGCGGCGGCGAGAGGGACTTGTGAACCTCCCGCTTCTGCTCACCGACGCTCGCCGCCTTCAGCTGGCGCTGGGAACTCCCTGGCGGTCGTTGGTCCAAGCCCGTCCCCGTTTGGGCGCCTGCGGTCGACCGCTCTGTATTCAAGGGCACGCGCGTTGGTCGGGGTCCGCTTGCGTGGGCGCCCTCGCTTCGGACGGTGCTTGGGCCCGCCGTGCTGCGCCGTGTTCCTGTTTGTCCCTTTTGCGTGAGGCTGGTGGTGGTGGTGGTGGTGATGCTGCTGATGATGACGGTGGTGATGCCAATGATGCCAATGCTGATGATGATGATGATGATGATGATGATGATGCTGATGATGATGGTGATGCTGGTGATGATGCTGATGATGATGGTGGTGATATCAATGATGATGCTGATGATGCTGATGCTAGTGATGATGATGATGATACTAACGATGACGATGACGATGACGACGATGCTGATGCAGACGGCGATAATGATGCTGCTGCTGCTGATGATGATGATGATGATGACGATAATGATGATGATGTTGATACCGATGTCGATGACGATGGTGATGACGATAATGATGATGATGAGGATGATTATTGTTGTGCTATATATTACCACCATTATCATTATCATTATTATTATTATTATTATTATTATTTTTCTGATGATGCGGGTGAAGGAATGACGATTCGGATGATCATGGTGATGCTGATCCTGGTGATAGTGAGGACGATACTGATGATGCTGCTGATGATGGTTAGAACGACGGCGATGATGATGACGATGCTGGTAATGATGATGGTGGTGATGGTGATGGTGGTGATGCTGATGCTGATGATGATGATGATGATGATGATGATGATGATGATGATTAGTGTGCTGCTGATGCGGCTGATGATGCAGATGATGGTGATGCTTGTGGCTGTTGTGAGGGTGGTTGGTGATGAGGCTGCTGCTGCTGCTGATGCTGATGATGCTGATGCTGCCTATGCTGCTGATGATGATGGTGAGGGACGTGACAATGATGATGCTGATGGTGATGCTGATGCTTATGACTATGCTAATGCTGATGATGGCGATGCTGATGATGACGACGATTGTGCTGATGATGATAAAGAGTGATGATCATGAGGTCGCTGATGATGATTCTGATGATGAGGACGACGACGACCACGATGATGACGATGATGAAGGTTCTAATGATGATGACCATGGTGGTGATGGCGAACATTATGATGCTGTTGATGTTTATGATGATGATGCTGATGCTGATTGTGATGATGATGGTACTGATGGTCCTGCTGCTGATGATGACGCTGACCAGGATGATGATGGTACTAATGACGATGACGAGGGTGAGGACGATGATGACGATGATGCCGATGTCGATAATAACGATGATGATGGTAATGCTACTCGTTATGATGACATGATGATGATGCCGATGATGAACATGATGATGTTGATGATAATGATGCTGATGCTGTTGAGGGTGAGGATAAGGATGAGGATGAACATGAGGATGAGGATGACGACGAGGATGAGGATGAGGATGGCGATGAGGATGAGGATGAGGATGATGCTGATGATGATGATGATGATGATGATGATGATGATGATGATAATGATGATGATGATGATTATGCTGATTATGATTCTGATGCTCTTTATGGTGCTGCTGCTGATGGTGTTGATTACTATTATTGTTGCTGTTGTTGTTGTCTTTGTTGTTGTTATTATTATTACCACTATCATTCTTATTACGATTATGTTGCCGCTGTCGATGCTGATGATGCTGATGTTGCTGCATATGATTATGATGCTGATGCTGATGTTGATGCTGATGTTGATGCTGATGCTGACGCTGATGATGATGATGATGATGATGATGATGATGATGATGATGATGATGCTGATTAGTATGATGATGATGCTGATGATGATGACGATGATCATGGTGACGACGATGATGATGACGATGATGACGAGGATGAGGATGAGGATGAGGATGAGGCTGAGGATGAGGATGATGATGGTATTGCTGCTGCTGGGGATCTGGATGATAAGGGGGTCCGACGACAGGAGTCCACGGAGGCCGTGAACATCGCGGCGGGCGGAGACATTGTCGTCTCGAGGCTAGCGACGGCGGAGGAGGTGGAGGAGGAGGAGGAGGAGGAGGAGGATGAGGAGGCGCAGGAGGAGGAGAAGGAGGAGGAGGAGGCGGAGGAGGAGTTGGAGGAGGGAGCAGTGGGGAAGAAGAGGGAGCAGTGAGGAGAACAGAGTCCGCGCGGTGGCGCGCGCGGGGCGGGCGTCGGCGAGAGACCCGCCGCTGCGCTTGCAGGAGAAGGAGGAGGAGGAGGAGGAGGAGGAGGAGGAGGAGGAGGAGGAGGAGGAGGAGGAGGACCAGCGCCAGGCCAGGTCGTGCAACCGAGGGACGGGAGCACGGGCCTAACATACAGAGTTAGTCAGGTCTTAAAGATGTGCCCGACTTGGGATGGCGACCAGCCTTGATAGCAGATAGTGAATATGTCTGCTTATATCTGGTCTGCCCGTGCTCCGAAGGCCCCAAACAGCTACCCTGCAATCTGCAATTCGCAACTTTGCCACTGGACACCTGATAGGAGCCGCACAGAGTGCACACCATCGCCCACGGAAGCACCAAGACACGATGGCCCTGGAGCTCGACGATTTCTTCGGCAGGCGCAGGGTCCCCAGGGGCCTCATGAGGCCATTGGTCCTGTGGCAAATCTACACCTTCAAACACCGCGGCACCAGACAGGGCAGCATTCACAGCGTGAGACCTCATCAGGGGGGCTGTCTGTAGCTCCTGATCCGCTCTCGCCTTCAGCCTCTCTTGGGCCGTCGGGTCACACAAGGTTCCCAAGACCTTCCCGAGACTGGCCTGCGTACGGGCAACCGCTAAACAGACTCTACACTGGAAAACCTGAGGGCCCCTAACTACCATACAAGGAGGAGGAGGAGGAGGGGGGGAGGGAGGAGGAGGGAGGAGGAGGAGGAAGGAGGAGGAGGAGGAGGAGGAGGAGGAGGAGGAGGAGGGATGAGGAGGCGAGGAAGGAGGAGGAGGAGGAGGAGGAGGAGGAGGAGGAGGGAGGAGGAGGAGGGAGGAGGAGGAGGAGGGGGAGGAGGAGGAGGAGGAGGAGGAGGGAGGAGGAGGAGGAGGTGGAGGAGGAGAAGGAGGAGGAGGAGGAAGAAGGACCAGTAAGAGGAGCAGGGTGCGCCAGTGCCGCTTCCTTCGTGGCCCCCGCCGCGAGGCTGGCCCGGTGCCCTGCCTCGGCCATGGCCGCCCTCCAGCGGGACGCGGAGAAGCACAGGAAGACGTACGCGCGCGCCCTGGGCGGCTCGTGGGGGTCTCCTGCCGTCCTCCTTTCTCCTATGTCCTTTCTCCCCCTCCCTCCCTCCTGCTTTGCTCTTGCTCCTCCCCTCCTCCTTTCTCCTCTCCTCCTCTTCCTGCCCCCCCCCTCCCTCCGTGGTGGCTGCCACAGCCATGTTGGCTCAAGATGCAAGCGTCGCTGGGGAGCAAAGTGAATTCCGCTAGTTCGCGGCTAGTTGCAAATTCATTTCGGGCAGGGAGAGTGCCCACCATCCGGCACTGCTCACTCTGTGTAGCTCGCTGCCTGGGTGAGGCCGGAGTGGCGTTGCAAGTGGTGTCGGGACAAGTGGACGGGGGAGAGGCTGGTTAATCACTCTCACTCCCACAGGAAGAGGCGCTTCAAATGTGGCGTGTTAAGGGCAGCACCTACGGAGGAACAGCGTCTTCGACGTCCATATCTCCAAGTGTGTGTCTCTGCGGGCAGCATCCTGGCATCAGGAACTGGTGGCATGTTAGAATCAGTTGAACGTGCTGAAGAACAAGCTCACTGAGGCAACCGCGAAGCTGCAGAGCCAGGCAGACGCCAACAACGATATGGGATGGTGGTGGACGACTCGAGTGGAGAGGCGGGGGCTAAGGATCCGAACTTGGAGATCCAGAGGCTCACGACGCTTATCGAGTCGACCAGTGCAATCAAGGCCAGACGAGAAGAAGCGACCAAAGAAAGAGAAGGATGGAGAAACAAAGACCCAGAGCAGAAACCGCCATATGTGCAGATGGCCAGGGTCGAGCATAATACCATGGGGGTGCAGCACATGCACTTGCGGTGACACCAGAACGAGAACAGTTACCAGGATAAGATCGCGGAGTATGAGCAGAAGTCGAAGGGGGCTCGCGAGCAGTACGTCGTGAAGGGTGCAGGGCTGGCGGAACTGGAGCAGCAACGGGCTCGTCTGCTAGGTGGTGCATTGCTTCCTCTTGGGTCTGCTTATGAGAAGGGGCCCGAAGGCGGTGCCTTATCGAGAACACGGAGTTCACGGTGAAAGTGTTGGGTGAGATGCTACGTGGGCTTGGAGGCTCGGCTGCAGAGACTGACATGCTGTTGGCCAACTACATAAGCACAAAGGAGGACCGACATGCAGCAAAGGCCAAAGCAGCAGCGGAGGCCAAGGTAAAGCACGAAGCCGACGAACGTGCTACAAGGGCTGCTGCAGCAGGGGCCGAAGAGGAAACTGAGGTGTGGAGTACTTAGCAAGGGAGCCTTTCGATGCCCAGTCGTGGAGGGCCCTCTTTTCCAAGAGTTTTCCTGGCTTGGGTGAGTCTACTGCAGTGCCCGACGATGACGATGAGCTCCGAGACCTGGCGGGAGCTGGCAAAGGGGATGTGGACCAACTTCGGCAAGGTGGTGGCTCCAGGTTCAAGTTGTTTGGAGAGTTGGAGAGGATGTCAGTGTTGGGATGATGCTGGGTGATCATCGACTTAATGAAGAAGCATGAGCAGTCAATTATTTCGGGTGTGTCAGCGTTTCGCGAATATTTGGTGGATTGTGAAGCAATGGTGCTGTGTGGGCAGGAGCATCGCGTTGTAGAAGCCACGTTGGTGAGGTTGCAGCGACAGGCGGCAAGGCTTGGGTGACACGGGCTGTGGGCGCCAGTCATACAAGGCAGTGTCCAAGGATCTTCGGGGGACGTGGCGGTGCTGGCGCTGGGCGATATGGAGGTGTTGAAGCCGACGGTGGGCGACCAGGTCATTGAGAAGGGTCTTGCGGTGGCGGCCAGCTTGCTAGGTGGTGTGCCAGGAAGTTTCTTCCCCAGTGATTCTATACCTGAGGCGTACTTGGGCACAGTCGGCGTACTTGTGCACCCCGTTGTTTTCCGAGGCGGCCTTGGGCACGTTGCGTAAGGTGGCCGAGTGTGTGTTCGTATCAGAGGAGAGAGGCATCCCGCGGGTTGTGGTGGGCGGCTGCAACGTGACGGGAGAGGAGCTGTGCGTGGACGGCCGACCTTTCTTTCGGAGGGTTTTTAAGGAGCCGTCGAGCCAGACGTGTTTCGCTTCTATGCCTGAGCGCGCGCAGGGTTATTTTATTGTGTCAATGTCCTCTGCCACCAGAACTGGGTTGGCGTGTGCGAGTTGCCTCGCGACTACTTTTCTTCGCCTCCCAGCGCCAATCGAGCTCGAAGAAGCCGCGGAGGAGGTATGTTGCTACATGTTGGTTGAGCCGAGACAGCTGCGCGAGAGGGCCAAGCCTTGGCGCGCTAGGCGCGCGCGTGGGTGGGGGCAGCTATCCGAGGGAATGAATGCGGATGAAGACCGAAGGTTGGTTGACGCAGTAGTGGGACGTTGTGATGGGCGTGCTGTTGGGAGAAGGGTTGAGCTTCCATGACATTGTGGGAGCTAGGAAAGATGAGCGCGTGCAATCCAATTTGGAGCCGCGCAGGGCGAATGGGGAGGAGCTGGGGTTGCCGAAGATTGAACTCCGTTCGGGGCAGGGCGCGCCGGGGGACGTAGCGTGGCAAATCTGTGCGAGACGGGTGAGACATCTCAGGTCTATGCGAGCCCACGTGGTGTTGGCACTAGGGAAAGGCGCCGGGAAGGACTGACAAACTGAGCACTGGGCTCCTGTGCTATACGAGCCTGGTTGACGCGATCTCTGGGGCCCACTTTGCGTGGAAGCGGCTGTCCAGGTAGGCTCGCGAGTTGTTCCAGTCTGGTTACGGAATGATCAGGCTGCCTGGGCACGAGGACAGGGCGGGCGCGCTGCTGAACGTGGCCAGCTCGTGAAGCTCGTGAAGGGTGGGTGGGGCTGGCTCCAGATTGCTTTCAGGGGGGTGCAAGTGCTGTTTTTCAGATGCTCCATAGTGACAGAGTTTCAGTAGTGACAGAGGTTCAGGAGCTGGTCGATGCTGGTGAAGGTGTTCATCCAGATGGGAGAGTGGAACGGCTGCGGGGTTTTCATGAGTGGGCTCGCATGCCGAAGTTGACGGCGGACGACCTGTGGAGAGCGGCTGGCAAGTTCGCGAAGAAGCGGGACTTGGACAGTTCGGGGTGCGCGCCAGAGAGTTCCAGATCTTAACGATTGTGCTTGATTGCTTTTTGGCAAATGCGAGTTGCTGGGGGTTTTCCCGCAAATCGCCTGGTCTCGGAGATGGCGGGGCGCGGGGGGCCAGATGGAGATCGCGGGTGGGTCGCCGTGCTCCGCGCGGTTTTGAGGTGACGGGGAAGGGCGCGCAGAGGTGTGTCAGCCAAGGTGAGGCAGATGAACCAGGACAGCATCCTCAGGGAAAGTAGCGTCGGCCGCGCGTCGTCCGATCATGCTTTCGAGCTCGACGTCGCGGCGGAAGTGGTGTGGGGTGATGGGGCAGCGCGTCGCGGTGCTGATTGACATGGCCAAACGCTGCGAGACGACGGCGCGCGACGCTTTGCCGCCTAAAGCTCGTGAGGTGGGCTGCCCTGTGAGTTTGGCTTGGTGTTTGATTATGCGGTACTTTAGGCGGCGATGCGCGCGGGCAATCGGAGGTCACTCGGAGATTGTGATGATTTTCAAGGTATGCAAGCGGGCTGGAGCCTCGCTGCGACGCCGCTGAGCGCGCTGCTGGTCCGGGGCCTGCAGGGCGCGAGACGGGTTTATCGATCGCGCGGGGGGGTCTGATGGGCGACGTGTCGCTACAGTGGGTGGGGCAAGATTTGTGTAAGTCATGGGAGCTATGGAACGCGCGACGGTGTATCTGTGCAGAAGGACGAAGGAGCTGGGCGTGTTCGCGCGCGCCACG